TGAGAGAAGAGAAGCTAAAGAGGAAAAGAGGAGGACGAGAGGAAGAGAGGGAGAAGAGAGAGAGGAAAGGGAGATGAGACTAGAGGAGAGAGAAATGAGTGGAAGAAGGAGAAGAGAGGAGAAGAGAGAGAGAAGAGAGGGAGAAGAGAAGAGAGAGAGAGAAGAGAGGAGAGAAGAGAGACGAGAAGAGAAAGAGAGAGGGAAAAAGAGAGAAGACGAGAGAGAGAGAAGATGATCGAAGAGAGAAGAGAGACGGAGACTGGTGAGGGAGTGAGGAGAGAAGATCGGGAGAGAGTGAGCGAGAAGAGAAAAAGAACAGAGAGGGGGAGAGAGAAGAGAAAAAAGAGAAAGAAGAAGACGAGGAGAGAGTGAGAAGAGGAAAGAGAAGATTGAGAGAGAGGAGCAGAGAGAGAGGAAGAAGAGAGAGAGAGAAGAGAGAGAGAAGAGAGAGAGAGAGAGAGAGAAGAGGAGAGAAAGAGAGAGAGAGGAGAGAAGAGAGAAGAGAGAGATGAGAGAAGAAGAGATGAGACTCGAGGAGATTCTTAGAGAGAGAGAGAGAGAGAGAGAACGAGAAAGAAAGAGAGAGAGAGAAAGATGAAGAGAGAGAAGAGAGAGAATGAAGAGAGAAGAGAAGAGGAGAGAGGAGAGAGAGAAGAAGAGAGAAGAGAGAGAAGAGAGAGCAGGAGAGAGAAGAGAGAAATAGAGAGAAGAGAGAGAAGAGGAGAGAAGAAGAGAGAAGAGAGAGAAGAGAGAGAGAGAGATGAAGAGAGAGGAGAGAGGAGAGAAGAGGAGAAAACGAGAGAAGAGAAGAGAAGAGAAGAGAAGAGAGACGAGAGGAGAGAGAAGATGAGAGAGAGAGGATGAGAGATGGGAGAATGAGGAGAGAGAGAGAGGAGAGAGAGAGTGAGAGACGGGAGGAGATGAGAGAGATGAGAGGAGAGAGAGAGAGAGGGAAGAAAGAAAAAGGGAAGGGAGGATGGGAGGGCAGACAACCGGACCGATCTTATTTCTTAATTTACCGGAAGTGGTTTCGGGAAATATGAATAATCCGCTCATTGTCCATGGATGCTACCGACATCGAGGGACAGGGTATCGCCGGCCGGTTCTGGGCCATAGGCAAGGAGGAGTTGGAGGTGGAGAGGGAGGAGGAGGAAGAAGAGGAGAGGAGGAGGAGGAAGAGGAAGAAGATGAGGATGGAAAGGAGCTGAAGAAGAAGATGAGGAGGAGGAAGAAAAGGAGAGGAAGAGATGAGGAGGAGAAGGAAGAAGATGAGGAGGAGAAGGAAGAAGATGAGGAGGAGGAGAGGGAAGAAGATGAGGAGGAGGAGAAGGAAGAAGATGAGGAGGAGGAGAAGGAAGAAGATGAGGAGGAGGAGAAGGAAGAAGGAGAGGGGGAGGAGGAAGAGGAAGAGGAAGAAGAAGAAGAAGAAGAAAGAAGAAGCTGTTACGAATGAAGAAGGTAGAAGAAGAAGAAGAAGAAGAAGAAGAAGAAGAAGAAGAAGAAGAAGAAGAAGAAGAAGAAGAAGAAGAAGAAGAAGAAGAAGAAGAGAGGAGGAAGAAGAAGGAGAGGAGCAGGAGAAGAAGGAGAGGAGGAGGAAGAAGAAGAGGAGGCGGAAGAAGGAGAGGAGGAGGAAGAAGAAGAAGAAGAGGAGGAGGAGGAAGAAGAAGAGGAGGAGGAAAAAGAAGTGGAAGAGGAAGGGGAGGAGGAGGAGGAGGAGTGTGAGGTGGAGCAAGAAGAATTAGAGGTGGAGGATGAGGTGGAGTGGAAGGAGGAGGGGTGAGTGGAGTTCATACGAAGGGGACGAAGGAGTTGACGGTGGTGGAGAGGCAGATGAATAGAGAGATAATCGTATTGATTACTTAAAGCCTCTCAATATTTTAGAGTAAATTAGTGGAGTACACCGGAGTTGGGAGAGATAATTGGTTTACATCATGCCCATAGTTCGTCGATGGACCGATGACGGATACGGAATTAGCGCCAGAAATAAAAAAATAAAAAAATCGGGGAAAAAATGATCAGCGGCCATTGTCAGCTGCGGATAAGCGTTTAAAAGAAATTACATAATCAGTCTGGAAAATTGTGCATTACGGATGTATATTTTTTTTATTATCAGGTTTAATTGGGTTTGCAAAATGAAGATAATGGTTGTAAAGACTTGTTGAAAAAAGGGTCTGAATCTATTAGCCTAAAAATTGTTCTAGTGTGATTCGCATATTCATGAGGTGAAATTTAGGATTTCGCTTCTGATGTTGACAAATGTCCTCCCTCCTCCTCCCCCTTCTCTCTCTCTCTCTCTCTCTCTCTCTCTCTTTTCTTTCTCCGTTTCTTCCTC